CAAGCTGCTCTCTTTAGCATGCATGAGTGCAAATAAGAACCAAAGAATTGTCAATATTGCTTTCGAATAAATATGCACAAGAATAGGAAAGGAAAGCCTCTACTTTTCAAAAAGAACATTTCTGCCCATGTACAGTTTGATAAGCCAATTGGTTGTTGGAAGAATGTTCTGTGGACAATGAAACCAAAATAGAGTTTTGAAAGCTCATAAAGTCTGGACCCTGGAAACTGATTGCAAATTATGACATAATCATTGTATGCTGAACAAGGGAGGGAATCACATAAAATGGATAAATCCAGAAGTAAGCCTAATGTGTTCATTAACATTTTTAAACATCTCAAATCTTCCCAAAATGGAAAGTATGTACCTTCCAATGGTGTTGCATTTTACTGCATTCTGTTTGTGACTCTTAGGCACCAAAATATCCCCATGAACTTTTTAAAAAATTGTAGCCCCCCCCCCCCCGCTGCAAAAAGATTTGACTCTCTCAAAATTCTCTCTGGAGAAATCCAATTGAACATGACAAACAGATTAGCATTACCCATAATCTTAATTTAGCCTAAAGAATCCAGCTACTGTATTAGATTATATGATACTGCAGAAACGTTGCGGTTCATTTACTTCATCTTTAGCATTTTCCTAAAAATATAAGGGTTGGGTTCTGATAGAATTAAGCAATAGAAAAAAAAATGTTCTGCTGAATTGGGCATCTGAAAACATTGTTCATAAATTTCAATTTGTGCATAAGACATTTACAGTTAATGTGTTGTACAAACTGAGACAATTGGAATTTATTTTAGTAAACTATGGTTAAACAAATCATATGGGAAATGAATACATGTTACCCACTGATTATGTGTTCCTTTTAGCTATGTATTAGATGAATCTTCTATACTACCAAATTCTCATGTCATTTTGATTGTAACCTTAACTGATGCACTCTTTTCATCCCCCATGATGCTTGTGGCACCTCTCATGCACCCCGCACATCTTTCCCAACCTGCATCTCACCCCATGCACCCTCCCAGACTTGCATGGCACCCCTACACACCCTTCCAAGCATATGCCACACACCTATGCACCCAGCCCAATCTGTGCAGCATTTCTCATGTACCCCTACCCACCCACACGAACTCTCCCTAACCCTGTAGCACCTTTCATGCACTCCTGTGCATCCTATCCAACTCATACCACACCCCCAGATGCTCTTCCTGACCCTGCAGCACCTCTTATGCACCCTCATGCACCCTCCTGACATGTGGTGCACTTGTACACCTTCCCTGACCACGCCCCCACCCACCCCCTGCAGCAAGGAGGAAGGAATGGAACAGTGGTGGAATTCAAATATTTTTACTACCAGTTCTGTGGGCATGGCTTGGTGGGTGTGGCTTGGTGGGCATGGCAGAGGAAGAATATTGAAAAAACCCCATTCCCTCCTCACTCCAGGGGGAAGATTACTGCAAAATCTTCCCTCCCCACCCCAATAACCTGCTTTCCAGCTCTGTTCTCCTGTGCAGGGCAACAAAAGAAGACCCAGCTGATTAGCTGGGACTTGAGAGGCAGAGAAGAGATGGGAGTGGGGCCAGTCAGAGGTGGTATTCCAAACTACTCAAAATTTTCGTTACCGGTTCTCCGAGCTAATCAAAATTTCCTCTACCAGTTCCCCAGAACTGGTCAGAACCTCTGGTCATAGACCAGCATAACACTGAGGGAAGGAATATATTCAATAAAAGGCATAGGAGCAAAGAAGGCATAAAGACATAAAAGCTATGGTTTTTTTAAAAAAAAACATATGATAAAAGAGTATAAACTACTATGAAAATGCTCTCTGAAAGCACACCTGAGCCCTGCTGAGACTATAATGAATGCTAAGCACAAGCTAGAAGCCATTGTCCAGCTGCTAAAAAGTTTTTTTTTTTTTTAATGTTCAAGGCTCTAAATGGAAAGTTCTCCAGCTGGCCAACTTCGAAGCATATGTACATGGTGCAGAACACAGTATTTGTTTTAAGGAAAATATTTTCAGATTTTCCCATCAAGAACAGAAAAGTTCGGGGAGGGAGGGGGATTAAAAACTGCAAGGACCCTTCACATGCTGAGGCTACAGCCTCCTGAACAACATTGCCGTTTCCATCCTGCTTAAGGCCTATTGCAGATTTCTTTTGCTCAATTTAGGTCATTATCAACAAAAATTGGTAAACCCCCCCCCACACACACACACAAGTCACAAGGAAACACATCCCTCAGTATCCCTTAGTAACCATCGGGGGACCTGGTTGGTGGGAAACATCAGCAGCATAAGGGCCTGCTTTCCATCGGGAAGGCAGTGCTGCCGCTTGACTCTAAAACCAACTGGGGAGGTGGGTAGTGTCTAGTTACATACCTGACCCACTTTCTTGTTCCCTCCTCCACTCTCAGGGAGCAGCCACTCCAAGCTGTAGGAGCGTCCTTTCTGATTAGACAGTATGTTGGTGTGTGTACATAAGCCCTCTGCTACTCAGCTGTGAAGATGCCCCTTAGCAGTTCCTTCTCCAGCTACAATTTATTTCAGAAACATGCTGCATAATGAGGACAAGTTATACAAACAAATGTGAAGTGTCAGGCAGTAGTGTAGATCCTATGATAGTGCAGTGCACAATAGTGTAGATACAACAGAGTAGATCCTATGCACAAATACAGATCATCAAGCTACTTCTGCAGCCAGCGGCCTATAATTTGTCAGTTCAAATACCACCAGGCCCAAGGTTGATTCAGCCTTCCATCCTTCCAAGGTGGGTAAAATGAGGACCCAGATTGTTGGGGGCAATATGCTGACTTTGTAAACCGCTTAGAGAGGGCTCTAAAGCACTCTAAAGCGATATATAAATCTATGTGCTATTGCTATTGCTATTTGCACCACACAGAAGATGGGGGAGGTGGAAACGCTGGATAGAGTTTTTGCAGAGTACAACTTACAACCACAATTGAGCCCAAAATTTATGTTGCTAAATAAGACAGATGTTCAGAGAGCTGTGTCCCATTTTACAACCTTTTTTGCCACAGTTAAGGAAATTACTGCGGTTATTAAGTGAATCCTGCAGCTAAACAAATCTGGCTTCCCCCATTGATTTTACTTGGCAGATCACATGACTCGAGGGCAGTACAACTGTCATAGATACATGGTTATTGCCAAGTGTCCAAATTTTGATCATGTGACCATGGGAATGCTACAACAGTCATAAGTGTGAAAAAGGTCATAAGGTCACTTTTTCAGTGTCATTTATGACTTTGAACCTTCACAAACAAATGGCTGTAAGTCAAGGACTACCGTATGTTTTTTTTTTCTCCAAGGCAAGTGGTGGTGTTTTTACATAAATGTCCACAATACAGTATACACCTTGGATCCTCTAACTTGGATGTATTCCTGCTTATGCTCTTTCCAGCTCAAAAGCCCCAAATATTTTAAAAATGTCTATACTTCTGGGCACACTGTTGTAGAACAGCTCATGCACCCACAGAAATGTGTGTAAGATAAGAGAGGAGGATTCCAGTTCTTCACCATTACATATAAGTATTTACACCTATTTGCATCTTTACTCTAGCGTGGGTGCCAGAGACTTTCTTCATAAAATGCCACCAGCACGCTGAAATTAAAATTATCATCCTGGTTGAGGCCGGTGATTTCCTGTAAGGGAAAGCCTTCTGCAAAAAGAAAAGCAAAACTGTTGCAATGACGTGACTTTATTTTGAAACCGAAAGATGCCTGGAAGTCTCGTCCTTTTAGGCTGTAAAACGTGACCGCTCGTCTAACCAGTATGGATGGAGATGCCCCAAGAAATGTGTTTAGCATTGGCATGGAAGAACTCTTTAAAACCATTATTTTATTTATAATGCCCCAGCGCTTAAATTCAGGCAAACACGTTCCCCCCCCCCCAAAAAAAAGAGGAAGAATTTGCAAACAAATGGGGCTTATTTTATTATCTGGCAGGGTTCCTGAGCCACCAGCAATTGTACGAGAGAAGTTTTAACAGCTGAAGATTTCCCAACATGGAAATGCACTAATTAGGGTGGGGAAGCGAACAGCAGCCGTTTAATTTCTGCTTGTCATGCAGCTGTTTAGAAGACCCAACATCCCGATGCGGCAGGGGGGAGGAGGCGGGCTTTTCGGGCGTGGGGGGAGAGAGAGAGAGAGAGAGCTAGCGGTTCTGCAGTTTGCCCAACCGCGAGCGTTCTGCAATCCTGCAACCGCTTGCAAAAGTAAAACTTTGGCGCTTTTTATTAGAAGCGACCGGGAAATCCCCTTCTCAAAAATGACCCTGGACGCAGCGAGGCTGAAACCCCTTTCTCACTGAGATACTTTCCTCAGGAGTTCAGGATTCCCGCGCTTCTCAAAAAGCCAACTAATTCCCGCGCGTCTCGGGTGGGTGAAAAATATGGGCGGGAGGGGGGGTCGGGCTGCAAAGCACTGCAACCCATAACACACACACACACACACTTATTTATTTATTTATTTCTGGGAAGCAAGGCACCTCACCCACCCACCTACCCCCGCCAGAAACAGAGAGGTTTTCGTCCCGTGGATAGGGCAAGTCTCTCTGGATTCCGAATTAACGGAATTTGGAGGTCTAAAACAACATAAAGAAGGGTTGCTGGAATTGGCTGTGTCTAGTTTAATGACAAGAAGGACGAGGGGCCATGTGAATAGCACTCTTCCAATATTTAACCGCCTGTCCCAAAGAAGCTAATTTTCCAAAGCCCCTGAAGGCAGGACAAGAAGCAACGGATGGAAACCCTATCAAGGGAAGAACCAACTTAGAACTAAAGGGAAAAAAAATTCCCGACGGTTAGAATGAGGGGAACGGCTTGCCTCCAGAAGCTGTGAATGCTTCAACACTGAAAGTTTTTAAAAAGAGATTGTCTGAAATGGTGCCGGGTTTCCCCGCCTGAGCAGGGGGTTGGACTAGAAGACCTCCAAGGTCCCTTTCAACTGTTATTAAACCCGTCTGAAGAGAGGCTGCAAATATGAACGTTTAGCAGTCCGGTCTGCCACGCTGAGGCCACGGGTCCTGCCTTTAATTCCCGCTTCGGGCGTGGGCGGCGTATACACGCCAGCCTTCCTCCTCCTTTCTCTCTCTCTCTCTCTCTCCCCCCACCCCCTCCTCCAGCCGCGTCTCCCTTCCTCAGGTTTTTCTGCCTTCTCGTTTCCCACCGCCGCCTCGTCAGGGAAACCATCCGGGGAGCGCCGCTTTGCAAAAGGAGAAGAGCCTTTGCCAAAAAGAAAAGAAAAAAAAATGGGGTGGGGGGAGATCCGCCGTCCGCAGCCGGAGAGCGATTGCGGGCTACCCGCGGGAGCCGTTCCCCTTTTCTCCCGCCTGGGGCTGGGCGGCGGCGGCGCTTGAATGGCCGGGCGCGAAGCGAAGGCGCGCGGCGAAGCTTAGAGCGGGGAAGGCGGCGCGAGCCGGAGCTGCAGCTGCTGGGGAATCCCGTTTCCTCCTCGGCCTAGCGACTGCAAGCGGCGGCGGCAGCAGCCCTGCAAGAAGGACCGGCAAGCACCTCGCTAACCTTTGGCGAGGTAGGGAGGCGCGCTCTGTTTCCCCTTTAGGAAAAAGTGACGGACGGGGTCCGTGTAGCAGCAGCAGCAGCAGCAGCGGAGTTGGAAGGAAATCCTCGGTTTTGGCTGCGGGACACCTGTCCCTCGAACAACTGCTCCCAAGGCGGGTTAGATCAGTGGGAGCAGTTTCTGCCGGCCAAGGCAACGGATTGGATCCAGGAAAGCGTCCATTGATATTTATTTATTTAAACAACGTGTTTTGATGGCCCTGATGCCACAAGATCGACGGAATGGCAGCTCCGACGAGAAGGATCGCGAGGATGTGTTTGTTTGTTTTTTAACTTCCAACGTGCGTGCCGAAAATGTGTGACTTTTAGGAAGAAGACTTGTGAAGGATAATCCTCTCTTTGCTTGTACATAGCTTCAAAGGAAAATAATTAGCCTTTTTTTAAAAAAAAATGAACGACGCCTTCCATATGTAAAATAGCTTTATTCCCTCTCGGGAAACTAGTAATAAATGTTTAACATTTCTTGTTAATGTAAAGTGTATGAATTTCATGTTACGGCGTGGTTTGGGGAATTGTGCCTTATGGCTACACACAGTTATTTCTGGCGTTTGCCTGGTGCTTTTGGCACCGGGGCTGACTGGTTTATGGCAGATGGTTCACTTTAATGCCATGATCCACCGGGAGCTGCCTTTTTCCATGAGTTAGGTGGCCAGGCACAAAAAGTCACAGGGCTCCTTACGGTTTTCAGGGTTGAGAATTTCAGCAGGTGTTGTTTGCACAGTAAGCTCCTTTGCAAAAGGAGAAGAGCCTTTGCCAAAAAGAAAAAAAAATGTCTTTATTTTATTTTGCACAAAAGTATTGGAGCCTTGTCCTAGGGATCTGGCAGCCATAGCTGCAGGTTATTGATTGTCAAGGTAGTTTTCACAGTAGGTTATCAGCAGAATCTGGCCATTGCTGTGAAACAAACAAGAGTTGCACAAAATGTAGGAATGCATTTCTTATTATTCCTTGTTTTGAGCAGCCTTATATAGTCCCTCGGATTGGCATGTTTTAGCATTTATGTGGAATTCTTCCGGTAGGGAAAAAAAAAAGTCCCATCGTTTTCCTGTTTTGTTCTGAAACTTCCCTCTCTGTGCAGGGTGCATATCTTAATTTCATAGCATGCATAACCCTCCTTAATCCACCTCCTTTCAAAATATTGTACCGCTACATCAGGAGCAGCAACCTGATTCTTTCCAGATGTTTTGGACTTCCAACTCCTTCATGGCCTATAGCAAATGTTTCCCCCCCCCCCCCCAGTCTAAAAATATCTGGGATATGCTAGGTTACCTAGGGCAGTTTGCTTTAAGCAAATCAATTTTCCTCCATTGCTTGCACCTCCCCCCCATTGCCTTAGTCCTTGACTGAATTGAGAAACTAACACTAATTCTCTGTCTCTCTCTCTCTGTCTCTCTCTCTCACACACACACCCCACTCAAACACAGCCTGCAGCCCTAAACACTGAAGATGCAGATGGATGATGAGAAAGTGCCGTGCTGGTCTATGTCCTCCCAATTTCCTGCATGGAGTGAATAAATACCAGCCTGCAATAGGATTCCCAGCCACATGGCAAATGAAGACAGGTGTCATTCAGGTCTAGCTGTGCATACCAGAAAGGAGAACCAGGAGACAGTAACTGCTAATGGCCCTCATGTCACTCTTTCCACTCTCCTGTCTTCAGCTGGGCATCTCAGTTTAGTTTGGTTCAGTTCAGTTCACCTGAATTCTAGTTTCTTAGATCTTTTCTCAGTTTGGTTTCAGGACTATAATTTTCGCAAGTTACAGATACTTATGAAATGGTGAGGGAAACTACCATAAAAATGTCTTGGGAGTTCCTCGGAGTACAGTACAGGTAGTTGACTTATGACCACAATTATGCCCAAAAGTCACTGCAGCCATCCTAAATATGAGTTAGTTGCCATGCATCTCAAATTTTGATCAAGTGACCATGGGGGGTGCTGCAAAGGTCGTAGGTTTGAAAAATGATGTTACTTTTTTCAGTGTCATTGTAACTTTGAACAGTTACTAAACAAATATTGTAAATCAAGGACTACCTGTAAGATTCACCATACTACAGCTAACTCCCTGTGTATGTTACGCTAGAGGCAGTCCTCAACTTACAACCATTTTTGTTCAGCAACTGTTCAGTTACTACAATAAAAAAATAAGGACCATTTTTCACACACCAATTGCAGCATCCCCATAGTCATGTGATCAAAATTGGGATGCTTAGCAACTAGCATGTATTTATGACGGTTGCAGTGTCTTGGGTTCATATGATCACCTTTTGCAACCTTCTGACATGCGGAAGCCAGATTCACTTAACCATATTACTAACTGCAAATGATCCACTTAACACCTGTCTTGTTCAGTGGAAATTTTGGACTCGGTTGAGATCATAAGTCAAGGACTATAACTATAATGTGAACGTTAGGTTCTGTTCTTCAAATCAAGCAAATTTGAGAAAGTTCATTGGGTAGTAGAAATATTATGCTACAATTATGCCATCATATAGTAGGACCTAGAATTTCCATCCCCAGATTTTGACTTGATCCTAAATTTTCCCATAGAAGATGTCTTGTGGCAAAGTTTTATTTTATTTATTTATTTGATTTGTCCATCACTTACAAGATAATAGGTATAAGGATAAACATGGTTATGAATACCAGAATGAGTACAGATAAGAAAAATAAAAGAAACAATAGAACAGGGACGGTAGGCACTTTGGTGGCACTTATAAATTCCATATTGTCTTTATAGTTAATAATATAAGCAGCTAGTTTGCTGGAAACTTTGTATAAAATAGGTCGTGCTTGCTTTCTCTTCCAGAAGACGTTTTCAGTAGAAAAAAAGTTTCATAGGCTAAACAATTTATTGGACTTCGATTATGCCATAAGGAAAGGCCCTTGGCACATAATTCTATTTATGTACTGTATATAAAAGTTGTCTCATGTTGTAATTTATTTTAACTGAATTGTGTTGATGAAGCTACTATGCATGGTTTACAAACAGTTGCTACCAGTAGGTTTATACAATGTACTGTTCAATAAATGCTGTTAGAAACTATTGACTACATCAGAGTGACATTGCACATGTATCATATTATTGCATAAATCAGGATGCAACTGACACAGGTTACATCATTGTGACATCCATGTAATAGAGTCACTGTATAACCTCAAACCCATTCGTGGTAAAAGCATTAAAACCAAATCAGGCTGGTCAAGCATGATGTATGAACGGATCACTCAGTTAGATACTGAATCACAACTAAGAGTTCACTGGTTTTGTCTTTGATAGCAAGGAGAAATCCTGGGACAATTGTTTCCAAATCTTGAGCAAACAAAAGTACCCTAGATAGCCCATGTTCGCAAATAACATTATTTTTAAGCTGATCTTATGACTGGTGACATCCAGTTACAGATCAACTAGACTCTGCCACCCTCAACTGATAAAGGACAATCTCCCATAGATGGGTAAGCTGCAGCTGAGGTTTTAAAAGAAGGAAAGCTTACTATGCACAGTTCTGGGCTTAGTTACAAAGAACCGTTTCAATTATCATGTTAAGGTGTGTTCTTACGAATGGCATTTTAATAAGATTTGCTCTAAAAGGATCTGTAGTGCATATTTGAAAAGTAAATGTCTAGAAGTAAATTCTTTTCATAAGTAATTCCAAACAAAGGGTGTTTATACATGGCCTAAATAGTGTGAGAGAAGGTTAGATTGCAGATCTAAATCTTATTTAATTAGCAGTAAGCCCCACTGCATTCAATGTAGTGTTGAAGATGTATCGATGCCTGTGTGTATGAAAGTATGTCAAGTGTAAAAAGAATAGTGGCACTTACCTGCTGTTTTATGTTCATTTTATTTTGTCACCTGAAGGTTCCAGGTCTTGGATAGAAGCTTCCCTGAAGAACTGGAAAACCAGAGAAATGTTTTTCTCCATGCTGCTGATTAAAGTACACAACATTGCTGCAGGAGGACGTCACCAGTAGGGCTTTGTAAACCAGTGTACCTTAACGGGGCAATGACTTCCTCTTTCTGTTCCATTGTTACTGCCACGATTGCAGTCTTAGGCTCACTTAACATTGGAGTGAGTGCTATTGTACACTGTAGGTATTATTTTTGAGTTAATGTGCATAGTTCACAACAGAACTTCACCCTTGTCATACCCTGGTTGTTCCATAGGACAGAGTATATGAGAGACTGTAGTTGGTGCCTGTTTCACCTCTGTGGTTTGCTTGTTTGTTTACTGTGGTTTTTTTCCTCATTTTATGCACTTTGAACATTGTAGTTGCTGAGAGGAGCACCACCATGTGGAGGAGAATTTTTGTGGTGAAAATGTTAATTTTGAACATTCACTAGAGTGCAGAGACAGATAGGATTAATTTATGCTGTAAATGAAAATGTCCCTTAAAATGAAACTGTACAAAATAAAAGCAAATTGTAGGGCTAGTTTTAGTAAGTATTTGAACAGGCCACATTGCTATGTAAGTATAATAATTTTATGACATCTCTTCTTCCATACCTTTTGTTTTATATTCAGTGACATGTAAAAGATTACAAATATGTATCATCTCAGGGACTGGGGATTTCGGTACATGGCTGCCATATTCTGGTTCCCTAATATGTTGCTTATAGTAATAATGAGCCCATAACGTGTTCCTGGGTGATTCTTTTAATTAAAAATAAAAATGGAAAATCAACATGCTGCAGAGCAAAATATCAACCACGAAATAACACTCTTTCAGTGATCTGTGGGACCCAGAGGCATGTTTAGAAAATCAAATAGCCAGTGACTAGAGCCAACCACTATGTTTCTCTTTTGGCAAAGGGGTGCTTTATCATGGCTTAGCCTTAGAACATTTTCTGGCAGTGTACTTGAACATGCTCTTCAAATTCCAGGTCTTCTCACTGACTCAAACGATGGGGGTCCTTTGTTCTTTAAATCATGCTTTAAAGGAAGAGAGTTGAGTAACCTGTTTTGAATTGTAGATACTCCATTGTGGGTAGTGTGCAAAGACCTGAACTTAAGAAACCAATTGAGCCAAAGGAAAATGGGCAAAGCCAGAAGAAAAAGATGGATAAGGTAACAGCAAATAAAACAAGGATATAAATATTTAATAAAGTACTGTACATGAATAAAAGCAGCCGCCATCCGAAGGCCATCCCAGAAGATGGACATGATCACCCATCCATATGCTTGTCAGCCTCGGACAGTATTTTTTCTTGAAACTGAAGTTAACTTTAGTCTGCATTTTGTTTTACTCAACTCGGTTTGTCCTCAAATTGGAACAGAATGTCAAATTTAAACATTTAAGAGATCAATTGTAAAATACTTCTGAAGTTTAAATTTACTCGAATGCTTTCCATAACTACGGTAGTAAACGCCCATCAGTGTGTGTATTTTTCATTTATTTATTCATTTATCTTTTTCAAACCCTGATTCAGATCGTAATTCTTTTGTTTCTTTGGACTATACAATCTAACCTGTATGGAATTAGATCAGAATTAAATGTATATTGCCTTTTGTATAGTGTTATATTCTCTGGATGACATTTCTCTTTTTCTCTTACATATTTTTTTCTTATACATACGTTCATTCTTGACATTGTAGGAGGAGAGAAGCAGGTTACTATATAGTTTGGTAGCACTTTTTCAGATGTAATTAAAAGGCATCAGATTTCCTGAATTATTATTTTACTGTCATTCCTGATAGTCCTGTATGTTCCATCACAATGTAATCCTGAGACTGCTATAGGATTGTTATTAAATTAAACGTATTTTCAAGAACCAAAGGACAGAGGCCTTTTCAGACCCTGGATGTCTTCCTGACCATATATAGTCCAAATGGCCCCAAGATCTACTGCAATAAGAAGCATTGAATCATATATTGCTGGGCTATATTCACAACCTAGATTTAAGAGTTGCTGATAGTATTATTTTTATATTGAAATGCAAGGTTAATGCTCTTACATATGCCTTCTACTATTTTAAGCTTTCTACTATGTAAACTACCTGGAGCAGACTTCATTACAAAAGTTTTTCTTTTTTTCCCCTTCTTTTTAAATATTTTATTGAACAAAACAATTAAAAAATTTGAACATGGTGAAGTCAGTTTGACATAACTTTTGGTCAATATCACACACACACACACACACATATACCTATAAACAATTATTCAAATATATATATATATATATATTTCATATATTACATTTCCAACATCGTTTGTCTTCTTTTCGTCTCATCCAATCATTTACCCTTTCAGCAACTCTTCCCAACTTAAGACCTTCCTCTCTGTTCCCACCACTGATAGAATTTATTCCAAATTGTGTAATATGCCAATTCATCCTTGTTTTGCATTTCTAGAGTTAGCTTGTCCATTTCAGCGCATATCAAGATTTTGTTTATTACCTCTTCCTCACTTGGTATGTCTGTCTAGTTCTGGTCAAACGTTATCTTTGCTGCAGTAGTAATGTGTATAATCAAATAAAGCTCATCCTTCTTATATTTTTTTTGACATAATTCCTAAGAGAAAGCATTCTGGTAGGTGATCTACTATAAAACCCAACATTTCCTCCAGCCACTTCCCCATCCTAAGCCAATACTCCGGCACTTTTTTACAGCACCACCAGTCATGGTAATACGTTCCCCGTTCTATTGAGCATTTCCAACAATTTGGAGGCTGGCTTTTATACATCTTGGCCAATCTGGCTATAAAATATTTTGAGCAAATTTTCCTTATATGCAGTGGCCATGGTAATCTTTTTATTTCTTTCCCATATTGTTTGCCATTGATCCAAATTAATACTGTACCCGGAATCTCTGGCCCATACCATCATAATCTCCTTTACCTGTTCTTCCTCTAATTTAGTTTCCCTATCAATTTATCCTCTGATCCTAACAGAATTTTATCTAAAACTCTCTTGCATATTAATTCCCCATTCTTTTTTTATCCCCATTATACCTTGCTTGTAACTGTAAATATTCCCTCCATTCTAAATCCATCCCATGCTGCTTTAAGTCCTGTTTAGTTTTTAACACTCCATCCCCGTTTAAGACATCTGGATTAGTGATAGCTTTCCTTTGTTTCAGTAGGTTTGGATATGTTACTACCTCCAATATTGATATCTAATTTGGCATTTCCAAATATATCTGTTTTCTAGTTTTATTCCAGAGCTTAAATAGTGCTTGCCTAATTATGTTGTTGAAAATGTCTATATAAGCCTGGCTTGTCTGGCCATAGAAACGCATGCCATCCTTGTTGCAGGTCATGACCTAACTGCAGAATTCTTCTATTTTCTATTAGTACCCAATCTCTAATCCATGTAAATGAAGCTGCTTGATGATAGATTTCCCAGTCTGGAAGGCCAAACCCTCCCCTTTCTGTGGCTTCTTGTAGTAATTTAAGTTGAATCCTCGGGGTTTTTCCCCTACCATAAGTTTTTCAGTGGTTTAAATAAACACGATCATGGCTACATTTCTCTTTAAAAATGTACTCCTTCAGCTAACATTGCATCTTCCTATCCCTAAAATATCAACTGCCCGATGAGCAAGTATCAGAAAGCCTTCTAACATGCATGTTGCAGAGATTCTGTTGATGTGCACAAGAATCTGTGGCAGAGGTGATATTCAGGAGATTCTGACCAGTTCTGGAGAACCGACAGCGGAAATTTTGAGTAGTTTGGAGAACCGGCAAATACCACCTCCGACTGGAGATTTTACAGTATCCTTCCCCTGCCATGTCCACCAAGCCACACCCATAGTACAGGTGGTTAAAAAAATGAATCCCACCACTGATCTGTAGGTATCTGAAATTCAAGCTATTTTTAACAGGAACACTATCCGTATCTTTCTGTCTTTGGGTTTTATTCTTTGACTTGACTGCAGTGTGAGTGCGTTGTCCTACAAGGTTGGAGGTGGTAAACTACAGTATATTTCAGATATGCAGAGATCTCTTTCTTCAGAATGAGTTAACTTTAGATTCTCTGTTACTGGTGCAGGTTATAGCTTCAAAGACTGTAAACAAAGCATATCACATTATCAAAGAAGGAAAGTGCTAAAGTCTAACTACAGTTGGTTAATTTGTCTCTTGATTTCCTTTGGATTTCAAGTTAGCTATCGCTGTTTTTTAAAAAAAATCAAATATCCAAGGAGATCTTGGTAATTAGTGTGACTCAAAAGGAGGAATGAATAAAAATTGCGTACCCAGTGACCTGGTTAAACTTATCCCTGTCCTCTTGGAAGAAAGAAAACAGCCAGTTTGCTTTAATTTCCTCATACTTGTTTAGATAAGACTTGTTGCCAAGCTGAGCAAGGAAATCCAGTCTTAGATTCCCTTAAATTCAGTAGCACAACTTCTAATTTATTTAATATAAATGGAAGCCCAAGTTGTCTTAAGGAAATGAATGTATTGTGACTGTTTAGGCAGAGATATCACTGTAGATATTTCTAACAACGAGCATAGTGGGTATCTCACCACAGGATGAATCCAGCACATGTCACGCACCACATGGGCTCATGAAAATTTCCTATATGTCATACCTTTCCATAACTCCTCTCTTGGCCCTGATCTCAGAGTTGGGGAGGATTGTTTTAAAATTGGTTTGCATATTATACCAGAAACTCCTGTGCTCTGTGGGCTTATGACTTTCAGGTTATTTCTGGCAGGTTATTTTTGAAAGCAGTTCAAAGGATTCTGGAGAACTTTGTGATCTTCAGAGACTTCATTATTTCTTTGCTCTCGTTAATCTCTAGAGTGGATCTGTTTCTCTAAAGCAGCTCCGTTGCTGTTCTTGAAGTTAAAAAAAACTTGTCTGTTTCTGGAGCAGATCAAATTCCATCTGTGCTTCAGAGAATCCATTGCTACTAGATAGTTGGCATTTCAGCTCTCTCTGTTAGTGTTTTGTAATTTTTATCCTCCTGTGTCCAAGCACCTTAGCAAACACAGATTTGGACACAACCCTTGGGAAGGAAAGGGGACCATGAACGTCGCTTAGTTATTATTTCAGTATATACTCTGTTTTAGGAAAAGGTTATCTTGCACGTAGAAGCCACCATGACTTTGAATCTGCATAGTTGGATGTCTCTGCCAGGTATAATTTTGTGACCATTTTCCAGTTCAACTAGGGATCTTAAACAATTTCACCCCTCTAGTCTCATTTGTTAAATCCCCGAATACTATTTAGATGACAAAAAACTTTTGATATTCCTTGATTACTGAAATGTTTTGCCTAAATCTTGGGGAAGGGGGCAAAAAAGCAATGCAGAATTTGGCAGAGAGAACATTTTACCTGGAATTAGGGTGGAACTGTGCGGGTATGTAAGAATTACTGTTTGAGACTCAGGCAAGAATAACTTTTGGGGCACCTGCTTTCTTGTTCCGATCTCCTAGTTCTGTATATTTCTAACAAAGTGTGAAAACTTTCTAATGCATTCTCATTCCTGGACATGCAGTGATTAAAGGGCCAACCGTTTGTTTCAGGTCAACAGTTATTGCTATAACTGTTTATCAGGAAAACATAGTGATACCAATAATCCTCAGACCGCTCCTCAAAGTTTATAGCACTGTCTCAGAGATTTATAGAGTCGGTATATTGCCTCCCAACAATCTGGCCTTCATTTTACCAACCTTGGAAGGCTGAGTCACCTTGAGTGGGTCAGGTTCAAACTCCTGGCTATGGGCAGAGTCAGCCTGCAATACTGCATTCTAACCATGTTATACAAGCAATTCCATCAGTGTTAGTATCCGTTCTTATAGCCCATTCCACTAAGGCTTTTTAGGAGGGCAGGAATAATAAGACAAAAGTTTTAGTAATGGTTAAGAATGAAAATAGTAAATTTAATCTCAAAAGATTCCTGCAAGGGTAAAGTTTCATCGGGCACATATTTGTAGTTCCTTATTTTTCTTGGCTTTGGGCTAAATGTACCTATTGTATTTGGATCTTAAAAGAAAAGAAGGCTCATTTATATTCAGCTGTCTTGAGCAAGAAGACACCTGTTAATATAAGAGAAAAGGGGAAGAGTTAAATAAAAAGAATTATGGTTGCGTTGAAAGAACAGATATCCCCAAGTGGTGTCTAAAATGGTACAATCAATTTTGCTGTCGTAGCTCTCAGCTCCCCTCTCTCACTAGAATAGATGTGCCTATTTAATATTGGGTTGTGAGCAGGGGTGCACAGCTATGCCCCTTTATGACCTGCGAACTTCAACTCCCAGAATTCCTGAGCTACCAAACCAAGGAATTCTGGGAGCTGAAGTCCACAGGTCGTAAAGTTGCTAACCCTTGGGTTGTGTGAATTCTTTGAGGGTTATCTAGGTAAGGAGATATGCTAAAAGCCTGCACAGCCCTACATCAGAAACATGCAACTAATCCTTGGCTGAAGACTACCATGAACATAGATTATTTGTGCTAGAAGCTGCACGTAAAAAGTGGTTAAGTCGAGATAAAGATGTGATCAGGGTCAAAATAAAAAATTACATTTGCTGTAATTAAATTGTTCTCAAGTTTAATAGTACTGTCTATTTT